GGGAAAGAAAGTGTGGGAGGGGGAGGGAAAATAGTAAGAAAAAAAGAATAGGAAAAAAAAGACGAAAAACGAAGAAGAGGAAGACGAAGAAGAGGAAGAGAGGAAGACGAGGAAGACGAGGAAGACGAAGGAAGACGAGGATCAGAGAGAAGACGAGGAAGACGAGGAAGACGAAGACGAGGAAGAGGAAGACGAGGAAGAGGAAGACGAGGAAGAGGAAGACGACGAAGAAGAGAGACGAAGAACGAAGACGACGAAGACGAAGACGAAGAAGAAAGAAGGAAAGTTGAGGATTGAGGACAAACATTCATAGGTATAGAATGGAAAGGGAAGAGCTCTATGGACCGGGGTAAATCATTACAAGGTTTGGGGGGGTGGGGGTAGCGGGAGGAGGATTGCAAAACGTAGGGAAATGTTTGTATTTTGGAATGTAAATGTTATTTCGCGGTGCTTTCGTATGGAAAAAGTTTCTGAAAAGATCTTTAATTAAAAAAACTAAATATTAACCAACGATCTCGAGTACAAAACGTACCCCTAACCTTACCTCCGACCCCCTCCCCTCGCAGAAAAAAAAAAAATAAAGAGTGATAAAAAAAAATAAAACAAAAATTGATGGAAAAGCCGAGCACCAAATGATGAAACAGATGATATTTTTCTATAAAAAAAAAAAGACAAAACTCAAAAGCTCTGTAGAAAAAAATGCTCAAAAACAGAAACGCACACCAAATGCCCGTAAAAATGCGACGCTCAGGTGGGAATACAGCCTTAGGTGGGATTAGGGGGGTGATTGGTATTTTAATGGCTGTAATTATGGATGCACCGATATTCTTTTTTTTTTTTTTACTAGAGAGTACCGACGCTCCCGAGCCCGGCACTCTCCCGTGCGGGTACCGACGCTCCCGGCCCTCGGCACTCTCCGTGCGGGGAGGGTACCGACGCTCCCGGCCCGGCACTCTCCCGTGCGGTGGTAGCCGACCTCCCGGCCCGGCACTCTCCCGTGCGGGGTACCGACGCTCCCGGCCCGGCACTCTCCCGTGCGGGGTACCGACGCTCCCGGCCGGCACTCTCCCGTGCGGGGGTTTACCGACGCTCCCGGCCCGGCACTCACCCGTGCGGGGGTACCGACGCTCCCGGCCCGGCACTCTCCCGTGCGGGGTACCAGACGCTCCCGGCCCGGCACTCTCCCGTGCGGGTACCGACGCTCCCGGCCCGGCACTCTCCCGTGCGGGGAGTACCGACGCTCCCGGCCCGGCACTCTCCCGTGCGGGAGTACCGACGCTTCCGGCCCGGCACTCTCCCCGTGCGGGGTGACCGACGCTTCCGGCCCAGGCACTCTCCCGTGCGGAGTACCGACGCTTCCCGGCCAGTCGAGCACTCTACCGAGACGCTTCCGGCCCGGCACTCTCCCGTGCGGGGATACCGACGCTTCCGGCCCGGCACTCTCCCGTGCGGAGTAGTAGTACCGACGCTTCCGGCCCGCACTCTCCCGTGCGGGGTACCGACGCTTCGGCCCGCACTGTCCCGTGCGGAGTACCGACGCTTCCGGCCCGGCACTCTCCCGTGCGGTAGAGGAGTACCGACGCTTCCGGCCCGGCACTCTCCCGTGCGGAGTACCGACGCTTCCGGCCGGCACTCTCCCGTGCGGAGTACCGACGCTTCCGGCCCAGGCACTCTCCCGTGCGGTGTTCTAGTACCGACCGACACTTCCGGCCCTTGGAGTACTCCGGCCCGGCACTCCCCGTGCGGAGTACCGACACTCCCGGCCCGGCACTCTCCCGTGCGGGGGGTACCGATGCTTCCGGCCCAGTAGTCTCCCGTGCGGAGTACCGATACCTTGCAGTGCGATTTGTGTCCATATAGAATGAAGGGGGGGGCTGTGCCCATTGATTTTGTATTGATGCGAATGTATCAGTTTCGGGAGTATATTTCGCTGAGTTCGTACTTGGGACCGACACCACCAGTGCATCCCTAGTTGTGATGGTCCCACAGAAGCAGCACTGCGCCCCCCGCAGCTTTTAGAGGAACCTTCTTTTAAAACTCCAGCTGTACCTGCAGAGCCCCATGGTGTGATCAGAGACCAACTACAGGACCCCCAAAGTCATCCCCTCGTCCCCATTGTTACCAGGAGATATAGCACCTTCAGATGAGTCCTCATCCCCGCTGGTGGTGACCTCCTCCAGAGGACAAGGATGACACGTATGTTCCATCACCTGCAGAGACCCTCATACTGGCATAATAATCAGGAGAACCATTGGATGGGGAGACTTGTACTCTAGGAGCGCACGCCTTCCCCAGTGCCCAGTGCCAGGATGGAACCTCCATCAGCAACTCGGAGGAACCTCAAGCATGGAGAAACTGTACTACGTCCACACACAGGTCTCTGTCCAGATTAGGCCTCTGTTTCACAAAACAATGTTTTGGACCATGTAGGGCCACTTCAGACCATGGTGGGCCTGGGAGAACCATGTCAGACCAGACCATGGTGGGCCTGGGAGAACCATGTCAGACCAGGGTAGAACATGTGGTGGGTGGGCCTGGGAGAACCATGTCAGACCATGGGGGGGCCTGGGAGAACCATGTCAGACCATGGTGGGCCTGGGAGAACCATGTCAGACCATGGGGGGCCTGGGAGAACCATGTCAGACCAGACCATGGGGGGCCTGGGAGAACCATGTCAGACCAGACCATGGGGGGCCTGGGAGAACCATGTCAGACCAGACCATGGGGGGCCTGGGAGAACCATGTCAGACCAGACCATGGGGGGCCTGGGAGAACCATGTCAGACCAGACCCATGGGGGGCCTGGGAGAGAACCATGTCAGACCAGACCATGGGGGGACTGGGAGAACCATGTCAGACCAGACCATGGGGGGCCTGGAGAACCATGTCAGACCAGACCATGGGGGGCCTGGGAGAACCATGTCAGACAGACCATGGGGGGCCTGGGAGAACCATGTCAGACCAGACCATGGGGGGCCTGGGAGGAGAACCATGTCAGACCAGACCATGGGGGGCCTGGGAGAACCATGTCAGACCAGACCATGGGGGGCCTGGGAGAACCATGTCAGACCAGACCATGGGGGGCCTGGGAGAACCATGTGTCAGACCAGACCATGGGGGGCCTGGGAGAACCATGTCAGACCAGACCATGGGGGGCCTGGGAGAACCATGTCAGACCAGACCATGGGGGGCCTGGGAGAACCATGTCAGACCAGACCATGGGGGGGCCTGGGAGAACCAGAACATGTCAGACCAGACCATGGGGGGCCTGGGAGACCATGTCAGACCCCAGACCATGGGGGCCTGGGAGAACCATGTCAGACCAGACCATGGGGGGCCTGCTGGGAACCTGTCAGACCAGACCATGGGGGGCCTGGGAGAACCATTGCTCAGACCAGACCATGGGGGGCCTGGGGAGAACCATGTCAGACCAGACCATGGGGGGCCTGGGAGAACCATGTCAGACCAGACCATGGGGGGGGGGGCTGGGAGAACCATGTCAGACCCAGACCATGGGGGGCCTGGGAGAACCATGTCAGACAAGACCATGGGGGGCCTGGGAGAACCATGTCAGACCAGACCATGGGGGGGCCTGGGAGAACCATGTCAGACCAGACCATGGGGGGCCTGGGAGAACCATGTCAGACCAGACCATGGGGGGCCTGGGAGAACCATGTCAGACCAGACCATGGGGGGCCTGGGAGAACCATGTCAGACCAGACCATGGGGGGCCTGGGAGAACCATGTCAGACCAGACCATGGGGGGCCTGGGAGGAAGAACCATGTCAGACCAGACCATGGGGGGGCCTGGGAGAACCATGTCAGACCAGACCATGGGGGGCCTGGGAGAACCATGTCAGACCAGACCATGGGGGGCTGGGAGAACCATGTCAGACCAGACCATGGGGGGCCTGGGAGAAACCATGTCAGACCAGACCATGGGGGGCCTGGGAGAAACCATGTCAGACCAGACCATGGGGGGGCCTGGTCGAGAACCATGTCAGACCAGACCATGGGGGGCCTGGGAGAACCATGTCAGACCAGACCATGGGGGGGCCTGGGAGAAGAACCATGTCAGACCAGACCATGGGGGGCCTGGAGAAACCATGTCAGACCAGACCATGGGGGGGCCTGGGAGAGAACCATGTCAGACCAGACCATGGGGGGCCTGGGAGAACCATGTCAGACCAGACCATGGGGGGCCTGGGAGAACCATGTCAGACCAGACCATGGGGGGCCTGGGGGAGAACATGTCAGACCAGACCATGGGGGGCCTGGGAGAACCATGTCAGACCAGACCATGGGGGGCCTGGGAGAAACCATGTCAGACCAGACCATGGGGGGCCTGGGAGAGACAACCATGTCAGACCAGACCATGGGGGGCCTGGGAGAACCATGTCAGACCAGACCATGGGGGGCCTGGGAGAACCATGTCAGACAGACCATGGGGGGGCTGGGAGAACCATGTCAGACCAGACCATGGGGGGCCTGGGAGAACCATGTCAGACCAGACCATGGGGGGCCTGGGAGAACCATGTCAGACCAGACCATGGGGGGGCCTGGGAGGAGAACCATGTCAGACCAGACCATGGGGGGCCTGGGAGAACATGCAGAACCATGTCACAGACCATGAACTATGTCTGACCAGAACATTAGGGCAACCAAGACAGGACCATGAAGGGCCTGTTGAGAACCACACTGTTGTAGAACATGAAAAACTATGTTGGGTAGGACACATCTCAGGCCATGTCAGACCAGACCCACGTAGAACCACCTCTGGTACAGAGACTGATGTGACTGTGGGGGAGGGGACATTAGAGTGTAAGCTCCTCTGTACAGAGGGGGCCTGATGTGACTGTGGGGGGAGGGGGACATTAGAGTGTAAGCTCCTCTGTACAGAGACTGATGGGACTGGGGGGAGGGGAGAGTGTAAGCTCCTCTGTACAGAGAACTGAGGGACTGGGGGGAGGGGACATTAGAGTGTAAGCTCCTCTGTACAGAGACTGATGGGGGGCTGTGGGGGAGAGGGGACATTAGAGTGTAAGCTCTCTCTGTACAGAGACTGATGGGACTGTGGGGGGGCCTGGATATTAGAGTGTAAGCTCCTCTGGTACTGAGACTGATGGACTGTGGGGGGGGGACCTTAGAGTGTAAGCTCCTCTGTACAGAGACTGATGTGACTGTGGGGGAGGGGACATTAGAGTGTAAGCCATCTGTACAGACTGATGGGACTGTGGGGGAGGGGACATTAGAGTGTAAGCTCTCTGGTACAGATGATGGGACTGTGGGGAAGGGGAACATTAGAGTGTAACCTCCTCTGTACAGGGACTGATGGGACCTAGACTGTGGGGGGGAGGGGACCATGGGGTGTGTAAGCTCTCTGGTACAGACTGATGGGACTGTGGGGGAGGGGACAGAGTGTCAGCTCCCTCTGGCTCAGTGTACTCAGACCAGTACCTGTCAGCTACCTGGCGGAACCGTCTGTACAGGACTGATGGGGGGCCAGTGGGGGAGAGGTCAGTGATACCTCCGGACCATGGGCTCCCTGGGAGACCAGGCTCCTCCTCCACCGCACCGAACAGGGAGGCCGGCTCTCTAGAGTGTCCCTCATGTTCGGCGATTCTGTGTGAGCCACTTCCGCCCTGTCTGGCTCTTGGCTCTTCCGGGGACGTCCCTCTTCACCATGGAGACCGCCCTTGTAAGGAGCGACAAAGACCCCTCCTGCCACACGCCAGACCTCTGCGGACCACCGGACTCCTGAACCGCGACTGGAGGGGTCTAGGTGTCGCCCCCCTCACACCACAGTGCGCACCCGCTCACCATTGGAGGTCGGCTCACAAGGGACTGATCCCCCTGTGACCGTGGGGGAGGGAGGCTCTCATGTCTGAGTGTGTAGCTGGAACCCCCACCGGAGGAGGTTCTCTCCTCTGGGGTGTGCGGGGAGGTCTCTGTGAGGGGTGTGGTTGCAGAGCTGTCCGGTCTCCTCTGTGAGGGGTGTGTGTGACTGTGGTCGGATCCCTGTGACAACTCCGTGATTAGAGGGGTGTGTGAGGGGTGTGGTCCTCTGTCGGAGGTCTGTGTGGACTGTGGTGGTTGGAGGAGGTCTCTGAGGGGTGGTGGTTGGAGGAGGCTCTCTATGAGGGGTGTGGTTGGAGGTCTCCTCTGTGAGGGGTGTGGTTGATGGGGGTCTCTGTGTGAGGGTGTGGTGGTTGGAGGAGCTCTCTTGTAGGGGTGTGGTTGGAGAGGTCTCTTCTGTGAGGTGTGGTTGGAGTGGAGGAGTGTCTCTGGTGAGGGGGTGTGGTTGGAGGAGGTCTCTGGGAGGGGTGGTAGGAGGGGTGTGGTTGGAGGAGGTCTCTTCTGGAGGGGTGTGGTTGGAGGAGGTCTCTGGGTGAGGGGGTGGTTGGAGGAGGTCTCTGTCTGTGAGGGGTGTGGTTGGAGGAGGTCTCTGTGAGGGGTGTGGTTGGAGGAGGTCCTCTCTTGTGAGGTGGGATGGGTTGGATGGAGGTCTCTCTGTGAGGGGTGTGGTTGGAGGAGGGTTCTGTGAGGGGTGTGGGTTGGAGGAGGTCTCTTCTGTGAGGGGTGTGGTTGGAGGTCTCCTCTGTGAGGGGGTGTGGTCGGAGGAGGTCTCTGGGAGGGGTGTGGTTAGAGGAGGTCCTCTGTAAGAGGGGTGTGGTTGGAGGAGGTCTCTGTGAGGGGTTGTGGTTGGAAATAGAGGTCTCTTCTGTGAAGGGTGTGGTTGGAGGAGGTTCTGTGAGGGGTGGGTTGACTGAGTTCTCTCTGTGGTCTCTGTCTGTTGAGGAGGGCTCTGTGAGGTGTGGTTGGAGGAGGTCTCTGTGAGGGGTGTGGGTTGGAGGAGGTCTCTGTTCTGTGAGGGGTGTGGTTGGAGGAGGTCTCTTCTGTGAGGAGTGTGGTTGGAGAGGTCTCTGTGAGGGGTGTGGTCTGGTCTCTGTGAGGGGTGTGGTTGGAGGAGGGGGTGAGGGTGTGGTTGGAGGGTCTCTGTGAGGAGTGGTAGTTGGAGAGGGTCTCCTCTGTGAGGGGTGTGGTTGGAGGAGGTCTCCTCTGTGAGGGCTGTGGGGGTCTCTGGAGGGGAGGAGGTCTCTCTCTGTGAGGGGTGTGGTTGGAGGAGGTCTCTCTGTGAGGAGTGTGGTTGGAGAGGTCTCTGTGAGGGGTGTGGTTGGAGGAGGTCTTTCTGTGAGGGGTGTGGTTGGAGGAGGTCTCTGTGAGGGGTGTGGTTGGAGGAGGGCTCCTCTGTGAGGGGTGTGGTTGGAGGAGGTCTCTGTGAGGGGTAGTGGTTGGAGGAGGTCTCTCTGTGAGGAGTGTGGTTGGAGGAGGTCCTCTGTGAGGGGTGTTGGAGGAAGTCTCCTCTGTGGGGGTGGAGTTGGAGGAGGTCTCTGAGGGGTGGTGGTTGGAGGAGGGTCTCTGTGAGGGTGTGGTTGGAGGAGGTCTCCTCTGTGAGGAGTGTGGTGGTTGGAGGAGGTCTCTGTGAGGGGTGTGGTTGGAGGAGGTCTCTGTGAGGGGTGTGGTTGGAGGAGGTCTCTGTGAGGGTGTGGTTGGAGGAGGTCTCTCTCTGTGAGGGGTGTGGTTGGAGGAGGTCTCTCTGTGAGGGGTGTGGTTGGAGGAGGTCTCTTCTGTGTGGGGTGTGGTTGGAGGAGGTCTCTGTGAGGGGTGTGGTTGGAGGAGGTCTCCTCTGTGAGGGGTGTGGTTGGAGGAGGTCTCTGTGTGAGGGGCTGTGGTTGGAGGAGGTCTCTCTGTGAGGGGTTGTGTGGTTGGGAGGAGGAGTCTGTGAGGGGTGTGGTTGGAGGAGGTCTCTCTGTGAGGGGTGTGGTTGGAGGAGGTCTCTTCTGTGAGGGGTCATGGTTGGAGGAGGTCTTCTGTGAGGGGTGTGGTTGGAGGAGGTCTCTTCTGTGAGGGGTGTGGTTGGAGGAGGTCTCTGTGAGGGGTGTGGTTGGAGGAGGTCTCCTCTGTGTGAGGGTGTGGTTGGAGGAGGTCTCTGTGAGGGGTGTGGTTGGAGGAGGTCTCTGTGAGGGGTGTGGTTGGAGGAGGTCTCTTGTGAGGGGTGTGGTTGGAGGAGGTCTCTCTGTGTGAGGGGTGTGGTTGGAGGAGGTCTCTGTGAGGGGGTGTGGTTGGAGGAGGTCTCCTCTGTGAGGGGTGTGGTTGGAGGAGGTCTCCTCTGTGAGGGGTGTGGTTGGAGGAGGTCTCTCTGTGAGGGCTCTGAGGGTGTGGTTGGAGGAGGTCTCTGTGAGGGGTGTGGTTGGAGGAGGTCTCTTCTGTGAGGGGTGTGGTTGGAGGAGGTCTCTGTGAGGGGTGTGGTTGGAGGAGGTCTCTCTGTGAGGGGTGTGGTTGGAGGAGGTCTTGTGAGGGGTGTGGTTGGAGGAGGTCTTGGAGGAGGAGGTCTCTGTGTGTGAGGGGTGTGGTTGGGAGGGTCTCCTCTGTGAGGGGTGTGGTTGGAGGAGGTCTCCTCTGTGAGGGGTGTGGTTGGAGGAGGTCTCCTCTGTGAGGGGTGTGGTTGGAGGAGGTCTCTGTGAGGGGTGTGGTTGGAGGAGGTCTCCTCTGTGAGGGGTGTGGTTGGAGGAGGTCTCCTCTGTGAGGGTGTGGTTGGAGGAGGTCTCCTCTGTGAGGGGTGTGGTTGGAGGAGGTCTCCTCTGTGAGGGGTGTGGTTGGAGGAGGTCTCTGTGAGGGTGTAGTGGTTGGAGGAGGTCTCTGTGAGGGGTGTGGTTGGAGGAGGAGGTCTCCTCTGTGAGGGGTGTGGTTGGAGGAGGTCTCCTCTGTGAGGGGTGTGGTTGGAGGAGGTCCTCTGTGAGGGGTGTGGTTGGAGGAGGTCTCCTCTGTGAGGGGTGTGGTTGGAGGAGGTCTCTCTGTGAGGGGTAGTGTGGTTTGGAGGAGGTCTCCTCTGTGAGGGTGTGGTTGGAGGAGGTCTCCTCTGTGAGGGGTGTGGTTGGAGGAGGTCTCCTCTGTGAGGGGTGTGGTTGGAGGAGGTCTCCTCTGTGAGGGGTGTGGTTGGAGGAGGTCTCTCTGAGGAGTGTGAGGGGTGTGGTGAGGGGTGGAGGGAGGAGGTCTCTGTGAGGGTGTGGTTGGAGGAGGTCTCCTCTGTGAGGGGTGTGGTTGGAGGAGGTCTCTGTGAGGGGTGTGGTTGGAGGAGGTATCTCCTCTGTGAGGGGTGTGGTTGGAGGAGGTCTCCTCTGTGAGGGGTGTGGTTGGAGGAGGTCTCCTCTGTGAGGGGTGTGGTTGGAGGAGGTCTCTCTGTGAGGGGTGTGGTTGGAGGAGGTCTCCTCTGTGAGGGGTGTGGTTGGAGGAGTCCTCCTCTGTGAGGGGTGTTTGGAGGAGGGTATCCTCTGTGAGGGGTGTGGTTGGAGGAGGTCTCTGTGAGGAGTGTGGTTGGAGGAGGTCTCCTCTGTGAGGGGTGTGGTTGGAGGAGGTCTCCTCTGTGAGGGGTGTGGTTGGAGGAGGTCTCTGTGAGGAGTGTAGTAGTTGGAGGAGGTCTCCTCTGTGAGGGGTGTGGTTGGAGGAGGTCTCTGTGAGGAGTGTAGTAGTTGGAGGAGGTCTCCTCTGTGAGGGGTGTGGTTGGAGGACGTCTCCTCTGTGAGGGGTGTGGTTGGAGGAGGTATCCTCTGTGAGGGGTGTGGTTGGAGGAGGGTCTCCTTTGTGAGGGGTGTGGTTGGAGGAGGTCTCTGTGAGGAGTGTAGTAGTTGGAGGAGGTCTCCTCTGTGAGGGGTGTGGTTGGAGGAGGTCTCTGTGAGGAGTGTAGTAGTTGGAGGAGGTCTCCTCTGTGAGGGGTGTGGTTGGAGGATGTCTCCTCTGTGAGGGGTGTGGTTGGAGGAGGTCTCTGTGAGGGTGTGTAGTTGGAGGAGGTCTCCTCTGTGAGGGGTGTGGTTGGAGGATGTCTCCTCTGTGAGGGGTGTGGTTGGAGAAGGTATCCTCTGTGAGGGGTGTGGTTGGATGAGGTCTCTGTGAGGAGTGTGGTTGGAGATGGTATCCTCTGTGAGGGGTGTGGTAGGAGAAGGTATCCTCTGTGAGGGGTGTGGTTGGAGGAGGTCTCCTTTGTGAGGGGTGTGGTTGGAGGAGGTCTCTGTGAGGAGTGTAGTAGTTGGAGGAGGTCTCCTCTGTGAGGGGTGTGGTTGGAGGACGTCCCCTCTGTGAGGGGTGTGGTTGGAGAAGGTATCCTCTGTGAGGGGTGTGGTTGGAGGAGGTCTCTGTGAGGAGTGTGGTTGGAGAAGGTATCCTCTGTGAGGGGTGTGGTAGGAGGAGGTTTCTCTCATTTGTGAGGGACGTGGCTGGAAGAGGAAGGTGCTACCTGTGTGGAATACCATCAAAGGGATCTTTTTTTTGTGTGATTGACACTCATAGGGCAGCCTGTTGAAGCTCATGGGCTGCCCTTACGACGTGCAGAAATGCGCTAACGACACATTTGGAGGCACCTCACGGTCCGATGGAAACCCTAATTACAAAT